GTTTTGGAGTAAACACCACGTTTATTTTAAACTGTATTTATTTCGTTTACCGGTCTGCGTACTCGAGTAAAGTAACTAAATAAAAAATGGCACACTCTGTCAGGGTTCGAACTGCCGCCTGATCAGGTATGTTTTAAACACTCGGTCACGAAGAACTCTCGAATAATCAAGGTCTTATTTTGCCTTTATAGCAAACTCACTCATTCAAATTTTGATCGAAAAACATAACTGCACAGTTTCGTATCCAAAACGCATAAGAAAGTAATTTCTAAAGAATTAAACATTCCTATTTATCATATTTCGCGGAAGGGATGTTGAACGTGACGTGAGAGGAAGATACATGACGTACTTATCATTTAAACAACCCGGATAGAACAAAATAAATAAATAAATCAATCAATCAATCAATCAATCAATCTATCAATCTATCTATCTATCTATCTATCTATCTGTCTGCCAGCCTATTCATATCAATCAATCTATCTGTCTATCGTAGCCTATTCATATCAGTTTGTTCATATCTGTGTATCTGTCTATTCATATCTTATCTATCTATCTATCTATCTATCTATCTATCTATCTATCTATCTATCTCATCCTATTCATATCGATCAATCTATCTGTCTATCGTAGCCTATTCATATCAGTTTGTTCATATCTATCTATCTATCTATCTATCTATCTATCTATCTATCTATCACGGTTTTTTCGTATATATCTATCTCAGTTTGTTCACATCTATATATGTCAGTCTGTTCGTAACTATCTATCTATCTATCTATCTATCTATCTATCTATCTATCTCGGTCTTTTCGTATATATCTATCTCGGTTTGTTCATATATATATATATATATGTCAGTCTGTTCGTATCTATCTATCTATCTATCTATCTATCTATCTATCTCGGTCTTTTCGTATATATCTATCTCGGTTTTTCATCTCTATATGTCTTTTCGTATATCTATCTATCTATCTATCTATCTATCTTTTTTTTTTCATATATATCTATATCAGTTTGTTCATATCTATATATATCTGTTCATATCTATCTATCTATCTATCTATCTATCTCGTTCTGTTTGTATCTATCTTTCTATCTGTTCATTATATATATATATATATATATATATATATATATATATATATATATATATATATATATATATATATATATATATATATATATATATATAAATATATATTTGTTTGAAGTAGTGTAAAACGTCAACATCTTGATTAAGTCATTATTTTCTCTTCAAGTTACAGGTGGCATCCATTGTAGATGGCGTTCCTACTGAAATTCTCCAAATGGCCTGCTTTCTTTTAATTTGTACAGTTGTTTGCAATTCTGTTGACTTGCTCGGGACGCGAATAAATTCCATTCGAGTACATTACATTCACTCTTTTTTAAACATTTCACCTCAAACAAGGCAATAAAGCCACTAAGACACACAGGGGTTACTGATTGTTATAAAATATGAGAAAACTATACTATTAAGGAGAGAGGACAATAAAAGAACCAAATTTAAGAAGACAGAAGATAACGTTTGGCATTACATTTAAATTTTTTAAGATTATAGTATATGAAAAGCAAGAAGCCGTAAGAGGTTCCACAGTTGAGAAATGGGATAAAAGAAAATGTTATCATAGAACTTACGGTTACATCTATGGCATTTCAGTTGTAAAATGAGACCTTGCCGTCAATCCAGCACTGAACGCCGATTCATAATATCTAATTACTAAAATTGAAAGTTCTTCAGAACATTTACCATGAAAGTATTTATAGAAAAGGCACAGGGGAAGCTACGTTTCGACTGAAAAGGACCGAGATGCCAGGGCGGGACCAATAATATTGCAGATTATTCTGTGGATTTTATCATGAATCTCTAAATATATATAAAAAAAATGTATTTCACCCAAATACATTGGGAAAGGTATGAAGCCATCTCTTCTTGAATTGTAAAGCAGATTGGTCACTCCATGCACAATAAGTGAATTATTATTATTATTATTATTATTATTATTATTATTATTATTTTCCTCCCATATTCTTTTCCTACTTTTTCACTTCCGGTCAATCCTTTCATCTTAGTGGCACTATGACCTTGCTTGGGTTTATGCCACTTACTCTGTAACACTCTAAATCGACTTGCTCTTGAGCCTTACACAAGGTGGACATCATTGGAAAAAAAAAAGAAAAGAAAAAGAAACTACATTACCTGACCTTGTAAATGAACTAAACAAAGCACTTACAACAAAGAAAGTTATAACATTTTATCTTAACTAGATATTATGTTACACCCTACTGAAAATAACCTAAAGCTACGTTTTCATCGGAAATCAACTAATAAAAATGATCTCACAGATTTCTATTCCCACCATATCGACAACATAATATGCAGAATAATTAACAGATTTTGTTTAGGAGCACTTGGGATTTGTAGCCCTAAATATTTACATGAATAGAATACATTGAGAATACATTTAAGCTCTTTCACTATCCTAATTATTTCAGATTCAACGCGAAACAAAAGACTCGGAAAACTTTTTAACATAGACGAGTGAAACTTTCTGACAATCCTAGCCAATCAAAATATATTCAAATACCTACCAACACTATCACAAAAACAACTGAAAAGAATTTATTTAAGTTTAACAGAAAAATTATTACAACTATTTCGAAAACAATAAAAAATTAATATAAAAAATAATAACTTAAATTTAAAGGAGAAATTCAATTTATCAGCTGTAATAATTGACACAAAGAATACATAGACGAAACCACAAGAATTTTTAGTAATTTATTATAATAACATGAAAGGATCTTTCTCCCCCCCCCAAAAAAAAGATACTCATTGCATTAGTCGCAGACTGTAATTAGACTGACAATAACTTCTATAAATAACTTTAATTAAAAGAGAAAGCAATTTACTATGAAGAAAGTATTTATATGAAGATCTTTAATCTTTAGATCAGCCATAATGAATTTACGTCATGTTTTTTACAGCATTAAATCTTTCTGAGCAATGTGAGGTAAAGAGATAAATAACAAAATGAAAAAATAAGCAAAAAATATAAATTAAATTGTCTTGAGCAGACGCCCAAACAAATATAAAAAAAATGAATGTTTAAAACTTCAGAGTCGCTTCCATTTTGTGCGTGTGTCTAATTACATCAAAGTAAACATTACTTTAGTTCAATGGAATTCTAATACGTCACACCAATTTTTTACAACTTTGTGACTAATTTTCCAAATATTATTCTGGTATATAAAAAATTATATATCATTTTCTCCCATATATACCGGGTGTAACCACAAAAATGTCCAAATCGTGTAAAAGCAAAGTTGTTCATTTGTTAGATTAAGCTTTGAACACTTGTATCTTAGAAATGATTAAAGATATCTTACTGGAATTATCCGAGGTCTTTTCTTACACTATCGGACACTACATTGAACACTAAAAATGTATTTAACTCTAAGTTGAAATAATTATCCAAAAAATCTTTCTGTTATGTCCTCTCTACTGCTCCGTCTTTTTAAATCTTATTTAACATTCTCTCGATAGATCTTGAATCGGTGTTTTAAGATGGAAGTCAGAGTATGAATATTGATACAATTACTGAAGGCCTGAATGAACTTTTCCCTCTCATCATTGCTCAGTAGGATAAACATAGTTTGTCTGACACAAAACGATTCTAACCTGTTCTCTTTCCAGCTGAATAACGGAAAAGGTTTTTCAGTGAGTCTTACGAAAAATGGTGTTAAAATGGAAAGACGTCTTATCCAAAAACTTGAAAAAGGAAACTCAATTAGTTTAGTTGTTCTTTTAGAAATTAAACATTTTTAGGATGCGCAATTATTCTATGCAGTGACACGATTTGGACAATTTTTGCTTTTACACCGGTATATATATATATATATATATATATATATATATATATATATATATATATATGTATATATGTATATGTATGTATGTATGTATGTATTTCTTGAACCGTTATTGTTAGTGGATACTTGTATTTTTTAACAGTGTTCAGTTCGTTTAGAGACCATCGCATTTTGTGAAACTAATAAAGAGTGTTTGCCCATCCGAAGCATTCCAGGCTGCTTCCCTATCTGCAAGAGAAACTACCGGTGTGCTTTAACTGCTCGGCTACGGAGAGCTTCGCGCTCAAGTAAATTTCTATAGTTCAGATTTCTCGAAAGCCATATCTTTTCAGCCTCGCAGCCGAAATCCATGGTGTATTTTGAAAGCCGATATTCATCCATACAACTTTTATTAAATTCATCCAACAAGGTCTGAATGTTTGAATTTTTAGTGCATTTTTTTCAATTTTCTAATATGTTTAATATTAGGATCAATATTTTGGATAAACTCTTCATGTATTTATTTATTTATTTATTTTTTTGTTCCAGTACTTTCCTCCGTCGCGGTTAATATCAAAAGCAATCTGCTGTCAGATACCGTTGGCTACATCCTGGTATTTTATAGAGAACTGAGAGTTTGAAATTGCGCCCAGTGACATCATGTGGAATGCAATGAAATATTATCGGAAAAGAATGTATCGAATATTAGGCACTGCACTGAAGATGAGTCCCAAAATAGGACGAAACGGCCGTCCAGTGCTTTCTGCTATATCAAGACTATTCAGTTTCTTCGTCGCCGAAGCCCGATGGTACGCTTTGAATGACGCTTGTGTCGTGTCGAAACGGTTTGGGTTCGAATCGCGGTAGTGGATGTGTACTACTAATTTCTGTCCAAATTAGGACGGAACGTCTGTCTGGTACTGCCTGCCTTCTGTTAGGTATTCTTCGAAAATCGATGAATTGTTATAATGATTTGCCGAAATCCACAGCATCCTTTTACTCATATTTACTCACACACATGACAGCTCAAAAGTTTGAGGAATCCCTTGTAATTTTTTAAATTTACCCAAAATGTAGTTGTTTTTTACTTTAAATAAGAAAAAATTATTATACATCATTAAAAATGAAGTGTGTACATACAATCAGTTACACACATCCATACGCACGCGTATGTACACACGCGCACTCACAAAGAAGAAAAATCAACACAACACCAATCAAAAACGCATAAATTATTTTAAAAATTAATATAAAAATAACGAAAATGAGAAAATCAGCAGACAGTAGGCGATAACTCATGACAAGTGAACAGAAAAGATTACCAAAACTTACCAAATTTAAATTGATTGTAATGTTTCTTTTATGTATTTGAAATAGCTAAATATATACTTTTCAGGAATTATATATGAAGACGATTAGCTGATTTAAAATTTAATTAATTTGCATCAGAACACATATTAGTTTTAAATTAAAGGTCAGAGAAAAGCATTTTTAACACCGAGTTGTTCGTATGTTGTCTCCTGCCTTTCGTTTGACTGAAAGTTTGAAATGCGTAAATTCTGGATGTTTTTTGTTTTTTTTTTTAGCTTTCACAGTTAATTTTCTATTACTGACACAAACTCAGTCTACACCGAGGTTGATAAGACAGACGACCGGCGCTTTTGACTCTCCGAAATACGGTATAGTCGACATGAGGTAATTTTGGATTTTATTGTTTATTATTTTCTCTGTAATAATAAATACATTGAACTCTTTTTGTGGATGAGTTTTAATATTTTATGTTAATTGGATCCACTAGTACTATATAGTGATGGATTTGTTGCATTTACTATATATATATATATATATATATATATATATATATATATATATATATATAACGAAAATGAGAAAATCAGCACACACACACACACACACACACACATATATATATATATATATATATATATATATATATATGTGTGTGTAATCTGACATATTTTTATTTATTTTAAACGTTACTGAAGTGAATACTCATATCGGCCGGGGCATCCGATAAATCCTAACAAAGAAAATCGGCAGGAGTCTAACTTGCGTCCTTCTTTGTAAGAGAAACCACCGGTTTATACTCGGCTACGAAAACATAACAGTTTATATATATATATATATATATATATATATATATATATATATATATATATATATATATATACAGTGGGGGGAAATAAATATTCATACACTTGAAAAATTGTATTTTATAAATAAAACAAATCTCGGCACATTTTATGTATAGACACATGCTATTAAAAATAATAATAAACTTAATTAATTCTTATTCTAACAGAAATTAATGCATTTTTTAAAATTCTAACTGGTGAAAAAAGTATTCGTACAAATCAGTTATTAGAATAAAATAATCAATTAATTATGAAAAAAGTATATTCTAGAATGTTCCAGTAATGTTATCAGTAATTATAGTTAACGCTATTAGCCATTATCAGAGCATTCTGCAATTTCTAGTCTTACGAGAAGGTTCTAATAATGCCTAAAGGTAAAGAATTGACTATTTCACAAAAACAACACATTTTGTCTCTTTGGAAAGATGGGAAGAGTTACAGAACGATTTCTAACAGCCTGAATATTCCTTTTACTACCATTGCTTCGTTCATTGCAAGGTTTAAAACTCATAACAGCGTCGAAAACCAAAGACGAACAGGTGCTCCGAGGAAGATTTCTCTAAGATCAGCAAGGATATTAGGACGCCAGATACAACAAAATCTACAGGTTACCCGAGAAGAGCTGCAGGAACATCTGCGTGCATTAGGGATTAAAGTAACCAAGCATACAATAAGTAATGACCTACACAAAAACAGTCTGAAATCACGCATCCCAAGGAAGACTCCACTCCTCTTGAAACGACTCAGAGATGCTCGGCTAAAATTCGTTAGAGAGCATACGGATAAAGAATATTCGTTTTGGGAAAAAGTACTATAGATAGATGAAACGAAAATAGAGTTGTTTGGTCATAATTATCGAAATCATGTGTGGAGGAAGGCCGGTGAAGCCTACTTACCGAAGAACACGTTGCCAACTGTAAAGTTTGGTGGTGGCAGTATCATGATCTGGGGCTGTTTTTCTGCAAAAGATGTTGGCAGAATATCAATAATAGATGGCAAGATGAATGCCGAAAGCTACCAGAAAATCCTGCAAGATAATTTAATGCGTTCTGTTGAGAGACTTCGGCTACCTCCTAATTGGGTTTTCCAACTGGATAATGATCCTAAGCATACTGCTAGATCTACAAGGAAATAGTTAGCTGAAAGTAACGTTGACGTCTTGCAATGGCCAAGTCAGTCCCCAGACTTGAACTCAATCGAGAATTTATGGCGATATTTGAAAATTCAAATTTGGAAAAGAGCACCAACAAATATCATGAATTTGAAGACAATATGCCAAGAAGAATGGGACTAAATACCACTCAATGTGTGCAAATCATTAGTTGAGACGTACAAAAATAGACTGGTAGCTGTTGAACTCAATAACGGATATTCAACAAAGTATTAAATTAAGTTAATATGCTTTTTTGTTTTGTACGAATACTTTTTTCATCAGTTAAAATGAAAAAAATGCATTAATTTCTTTTAGAATAAGAATTAATTAAGTTTATTACTATTTTTTAATAAAATGTATCTTTACACATAAAATGTACCAAAATTTGTTTTAGTTAAGATTTTACATTTATAAAAATACAATTTTTCAAGTGTACGAATATTTATTTCCCCCACTGTGTATATATATATATATATATATATATATATATATATATATATATATATATATATATACCGAGGGTAACAGCAAAATTGTCCAAATCGTGTAACAGCATGGGATAACTATCCATCCCACGAAATGTTTAATATCTAAAAAAGCACTAAACTAAGTGAGTTTCTTTTTTCCAGGTCTTCACATAAGGCATTTAGCCATCTTGACATCATTTGTCTTAAGAATCAGTGAAAAACCCTTTGAGTTATTCAGCTAGAAAGAGAACAGGTTAAGATCATTTTGTGTCAGACCCACTATATCTTCCCAACTGAGCAATGGTGATAGGAAAATGATCATTTGGACCAGTAGTGACAAAAACTTGATCAGAACGTCACAATTGCAAGAGGATTCGTCATTTCAACTTAGAGCTAAATACATTCTTATTGTTCAAACTATAGTCCAATAGGGTTATCAAAACCTCGGATAATTTCAGTAAGATACAACGCTTCAAAGTTTAATCTGACAATTTAAACTCGATGTATATATATATATATATATATATATAGCGTCATCCGCAGACGGACTATTTCGCTGTATCACAGCTCTTTAGTGTGGCTAGACTGGTTTGGTATCAGTCAGAGATTCTACCCCTAGGCTATCGTCGCACGGCAGAGAGGAAGGGAAATTTTAACGAAATTCTATGCGAAATACGTTAGTAGCCCGGAGAGCTCAATTCAATTCGGTTGAAGACCAAGGCTTTATTTATTTATCATATATATATATATATATATATATATATATATATATAGACAATTTTACATACATTTATTAGTCAAGTACATAGTTGTTTGAAGCAAATGTTTCCCAACAAGAATATTGTTTCATTTTCGTATAAAGTTCGTGTTTTTTTTTTTTTTTTACAAGAATGTTGGAGTAGTTTTTTGTCATTTAAATTGCTGTGTAGAGACCGGGAGTAATGAAAATGCGAAAGAAACAAGTTAGGAGAATACTTTAGGAGCCAGGAATTTCTAATTTCAAATCTAAGCTTCTGCGAGATCTGTCTTGCATCTGATAGTCTTGCCTTAGAGTGATGGAAAAAATGACATCTTTCCGAATTTGCCAACATCGGCCGTTTTTTCTTAAAACCAAGTATCTTCAAAATGGCTAAAGGCTGTTGAAATATCGATTTTCAAACACTCAACGATATCTTCTGTCAGAATATTTTGGTTTATTCACCAAGACGATAAGCAGAGCATTCTCATCGACGTCGGAAGTTTGGCTGAAGCGCAGTTGATGTTTTAGGTTTCCAAAAGTTAGAACATGATCCAGGTAAATCTTCTGTATTTTATTCGCACCTCCGATGCAATCTTCTTACTGAAATTACCAGAATATACAGGGTGTTGCAGCAAAATCAGACACTTGATTAAAAAGAAAACGAAATAGGCATTAAAAACAAAAGTTGTATATGCAGATACCCGACAATTTGACAACTAACTAACGTTATTCTCTCTACCCTTTTGCAGGATGGAATATGAGCGCAGAGCAGCGGTAGTAGCTTCTTTTCACGCCGGGAAGAAGCCTGCGGAAGTGAAGGCCTGGTTTGGATTCAAGGGGACCATGGTCATGGACGTTTGGAGGAAGTGGAAGGCGTGTAAGAACAAGGACGAGTTCACTGCCAAACGAAAGGGCCACAACGTTCATTCTTCGGCTGTTAGGACCAACAAGTTCGTCGCAGCCGTCAAGAAGACAGTCGATAATGATGGAAGCCAGAGCTACGTCAAGATCGTCGCTGGCATGGGCTGTCACAGGTCGACGAAGGAGATTGGTTACTCCCCCTACCGCAAGTCTCACTGCATGCTCATCACGAATGCCTCCAATTAGTCGAGGATGGTCAACACCGTGGCTTTGGTGAACGAGCTCAAGCACGGGTCTGCCGGGATGCTGAGGTTCTTCTCTGATGAAAAGAATTTCATCCAGGACAGAGGAGCAACAGGCAGAACAACAGGTGGATCTGCAAAGACATCGAAGAGTTTCCCGTCGTGAAGCATACGAAGTTTCCCTCCTCTGTCATGGTCTTTCGCGTCAATTCTAGCGAGGTGGGCGTCATGCCTCTGTTCTTCTTTCAAAAGGGTCTGAGAGTCAGCGCTGAGATCTACCAGGAGGTGCTGAGGAAAGTGGTGAAGCCCTGGATGGACGAGATCGCCGTTAGATGCCCCTACATCTTCCAGCAAGATTTGCTCCTGGACATAAGCCCAAGACGACCCAGGCTGCTCAACGATGTTCCTCACTAGTGGTCGCCGGACTTGTGGCCGTCCTCCACACCCGACTGTAACCACCTTGACTATTCTGGGGCGTGATCGAGGCCAAGACCAACAAGCACGTCTACAGCACTGTCGACTCTCTGAAGGCTGCCATTGTGAAGGCGTTCGCCACTATGGACAAGGACATGGTCGCCAAAACGTGTGACTCATTTCGCGCCCGCTTTGAGATGCTCGTCGCCGGCTGTTACATTGAAAAATAATGTAGTATGTAACTCTAACTGTTGCTAAATAAACTGTCGGGTCTCTGCATATACAACGTTTGTTTTTATTGCCTATTTCGTCTTCTTTTTGTCAAGTATATGTAATATGGCGTAAGTGAAACTTTTCATTCCATATACTCGAGGCCGTTCATTTGTGGACAAAATGTCAACATTCAACAAAGTCTGACTCTCAGATGAACGACGCAATGTTTCAATCTCGAAGACACCAGGAATAAGTACCAAAAGAAACGCCAGAGTCAAGTTGCAGCCATTTTCTATTTACAATAAAAATCAGGTATGTTTTTATTTTACATATTCCTAGAATAAAACAAACCGCAAAACATTACGCAGCACTCATTTCGATTAACGGCATTACTTAGAACGATTACTTCGCTACTTATATAATTGTAAAAAAAAATGTCTTTGTTACCAATAATAGACGGCTGCAAAAAAGTCACTGATTATTATTGCTGTGACCAAGTAAATGGTTAAAGAAATATCAAACCAAGTTTTGCAGATATATATTAAATAGTAAGTACAACAGAAGAGTATTACACGACTAGTGAGTGTGTGTCAGATGACCCAGAGTCCAGTCTATTCGACGATTCCTCCAATGCCTTCTCTCCTACTAATCTTATAGTAGGCGGAAGAGTACAAAATAGTCTCTTTAGAGGGAGGACACCACAAAAATTATTTATGGTTAATTTATTCAAATAATCCCTTTATTATTCTCATTACATGTCAATAATTGTATTTAAAATTAATAAATTAATTAAAATTAATTAATTAAAATGGAAACCAAGTGATCCTTTTATGTTTTCTGAATAAAGGCTCTAAACAAAAATATTAAGCAATATTATTACGTAATTGGAGACTTCAGTTATGAATTTATAGAGAAAAATTTATTAATGGCCGTAAGTAAAGAACACTTTTTAAAACGATACATACTATACAAAAATATACTATTCAGGTAGAAAAGTTGTCTTCACCGATGAATTGATGGAAAAAAAGTATTCATTATGATAAAGAAATAAAAACACTTTTTAAATTACATATTTAATAATAAAAAAAAACTATTCAGATATAAAAGTTATGTAATTTTGATTTTTGTTTTAAATGAACTGAACGACAAAGTGAAGATTCGACATAACGCTTTCGGTGAAACCAGTTATCGGGCAAATGACATTTGTTATGACGAATGGGAATTGGAATCAGTCAGTGTGGTTCGAATCCGAAAAGATTCCAGAGAACCACCTTCAGCGACAGCAAGAGTGCTCAGAAGTATATTTGGCCTCTTCGAAGGTATGTAGATTTGAGACTTCCTTTCAATCAACCTCATGCCACAACAAGCAGATATCTGGTGGGGATCTGCAAATACAAGAAAGAACCTTGGAAAAAAGAAAATATAAAAAAAAAACTGAAAAGTTTATCTTCCATCTAAAAGACATTTGCTGTTGGCAATATTTACCGTAATTTTCTGATAAAATATTTCTTTTGGTGCAATAAACGTGAGCATTGCATCTTCCTTAAAGTTAATTAGGTGAAGCTTGTGGTTGATATGAATTCCTGGTTAAAAATAAAATACTCGAAGTTTTTCTAACGAATTGGCCAACTGCAAATGCGCGCTAGTAATTTTATTTGTCATATTGGCAATGTTAATTAATTTTTTTAATTAATTCATAAGTAAAAATATCCTTTATTCAGATATAAAGATTATCTTCTTTAAGTGTTTTACTTTTTAATTTTTCGGTTAATTGAACTCTTCGACAAAGTGAAGATTCGATTTAACGCTTTCTGCGAAACCAGTTATCGGGCAAATGACATTCGTTATAACGAATAGGATCTGGAATCAGTCAGTATGGTTCGAATCCGAAAAAAAGATTCCAGAGTACCAGACTTCGGCGAGAGCAAGAGTGCTTAGAACCAAAAATAGTGTTCCGATAACAGATGCGCTGGCCTCTTCCAAGCTACGGAGATTTGAGATTTCCTTTCAATCCACCTCCTGCCCCAACAACCAGACATCTGGTGGGGATGTGCATATACATGAAAGAAAATTGGAAAAAAGAAAATATAAAAAGAAGAAAACTTAATTTATCTACCGTCTAGAAAACATTTGCTGCTGGCAATGTTTACTGTGAATTTCTTAATAAAATATCTCTTTCAATGCAACAATTCTACGAATTATTGCATCTTCCTTGAAGCTAATTAGGTGAAGCTTGTGGTTCATATGACTTCCTGGTTAAAAATAATAAGAGGTATTCGTCATCCTCAGAACGTAGCAACAGGTATTTAGAACAAAACAGAAGTAATACTGTACTGATAAATCATCAGTTACCTCCCCTTATGATCTATGAGTTATAAACAACACTCTGTAACATCCGTCAGTAGACGAGTAGTCAGAGTAAAGTGTAATAAAGCTTATTTATTGGTTCTGTTTTTACATAGGAGAAACCCGCCTGAATACAAATTAAATTACATTAGCATGTACACAAAAACAGAAACAGATGCAAGAAAAGGATGTATCTTCCGCACTGAATTCATTCAAGCTTTATAAGGAGGCAATTCTAAAAGAATTAGAAGTCCCACCGGGATTTAATATCAGTGTTGAAATGTGCTGAATTCCTCTGATGGTGACACAGAAAGGAGGGGACTCCTACAATTTAATAAAGGAAAGCGATACGAAAGGTCTAGCTTTCAGCTGAAAGGTTGGTTGATTGATAAGTTTGTATCAACACTTCCTGGGTCATTTAATGCTGAAATTTAATTTTCTTGGGACCTTTGAAGTAATAAAATATGATACATGTTATTCTGCCTTCACAATTGAATACATGGTAGACGATGCTCAGCTTTTGCGTGAACATAATTATTAGGGACAGTGATATGTGTGTTTTATGTTGCAGTTTTGTTGAAGTTATATTTTGGAATACTTTTTGATTTCTTTCAGAAATTGTAGGATATTATATGGATTAATGTCATGAAAGAGTTTTTTACATGTTGAACGATTTCGTTTCGCGGTAAATCAACCTGTATGGTTGATTTAATGCCGAATTCTAAATATTTTGAACAATTTTTAAATTGGAGGAAAAGCAGAAGTATGAGGAGAGAGTAGAAAATGGGAGGAAAAACTGAAGTATACGGAGAGAGTAAACAATGGGAGGAAAAGCGGGTGGATGAGGAGAGAGGAGGAAATAGGAGGAAAAGCAGAAGTATGAGGAGAGAGTAGAAAATGGGAGGAAAAACTGAAGGATAAGGGGGAGAATAGACAATGGAAGAAAAAGCGGACGAGTGAGAGGGAGGAGGAAACGGGAGGAAAAGCAGGAGTAAGTGGAGAGAGTAGAAAATGGGAGGAAAAGCGGAAGGATGAGGGAAGAGTAGGAAATGGGAGGAAAAGCAGAAGTATATGGAGAGAGTAGAAAATAGGAGAAAAATCAGAAAGATGAGGAAAGAGTTGAAAATGGGAGAAAATGCAGAAGTATGTGGAGAGAGTAGAAAATGGGAGAAAAAGCGGAAGGATGAGGAGAGAGTAGAAAATGGGAGGAAAAGCGGAAGGATGAGGAGAGAGTAGAAAATAGGAGGAAAAGCGGAAGGATGAGGAGAGAGTAGAAAATGGGAGGAAACGCAGAAGTATGTGGAGAGAGTAGAAAATAGGAGGAAAAGCAGAAGTATGAGGAGAGAGTAGAAAATAGGAGGAAAAGCGGAAGGATGAGGAGAGAGTAGAAAATGGGAGGAAACGCAGAAGTATGTGGAGAGAGTAGAAAATAGGAGGAAAAGCAGAAGGAAATGGTAGAAAAGAGTAGAAAATGGGTGGAAAAGCGAAAGTATGAGGAGATAGTTGAAAATGGTAGGAATACCGGAGAGTTGGTGTTTCGTAGTAAAACGGTTTATTGGTTGATTTTGTTTAGTAGCACATAAACACCTCTATGGGTTATTTAATGCTGAAATTTAAATATTTTGAACACAATTTTATGGCTTCAATTAAATATATTTTGAATGCCGTTGTATGCCTTCAGTTACAGATAAACTGTATTGTTGGTTATTTTGTTATAAAATATATTGTTGGTAATTCTACTATAGAATGTATTGCTGGTAATTTTATTATAAAAAATATTCTTTATACTTTTATGGTGTTTTGTTTTTGTTCGGAGGTTCACTATTTACACATAGCTGCTACCTTAACAGTCGCTACCCCACTCGAGTGAGGATGGATCTGGGAACAAAAGCTATTAAGAGGTGCTTCAAGGATCCTCAAAAACTCCTGATTAGATGGCTTGCAGTCGGATGTTCAATTGAAGACAGGAAGTATGTTTGCAAGACAAACAGAAACAGCCTATTGCCAAGTGTTGTAACCAAGAAATGGTCACAAAAATTTGAAATAACAAAACAAGAGGTTGCAGATAAATAGTGTATTGAAGAGTAAATACAACAGGAGTGTGTTAGACGACTTGGGGGTGTGTGTCGGTTGAGCAGCCAGCGTTCAGTCTATATCACTGTTATATTTAGCAGCCCCCCACAAGGGTACATATGGCACAAGGCCGAGTTTAATGTGGGTGATCCGAGCCCGTAGGCTCGCCCCAAAAATCCCCGTAGAAGCCGCATGAACGGGTTCGGCTCTGCCTATCTCCGCTGACGAAACAACTGCCCTTCGGCACAGCCTCGTCCGGGTTCTTCTGCACCATGGGCAGGAGTTGCAAACAGTCACAGCCTAGGTAGAACAGTCCATATCACTGTTACATTTTGTAGCACCCCCACCGGAGTAGATGTGGTACAAGGCTAAGCTTAAAGTGGGTCATCCGTGACCGTAGGCTTGCCCAAAAAATGCCCGTATAAGCTGCATAAACGGGTTCGGGTCTGTCTATCTCCGCGGACGAAACTCAGCCCTTCGTCACAGTCTCGTCCGGGTTTCTCTTTGCCAAAAGCAGAGAGTTTGACAGGAGCTACGAACAGTCACAGTCTCGGAAGAACAGTCTATCACTGGTTATATTTAACAGCCCCCACCTCACGGATGATATATATGGCACAAGGACGAGTTTAACGTGGGTCATCCGAGCCCGTAGGCTCGCCCAAAAAATTTCCGTAGAAGCCGCATAAACGGGTTTGCGGCTTCTACGGGGATTCTCTCTACCTCCCCGGACGAAACTCAGCCCTTCGGTACAGTCTCGTCCGGGTTTCTCTCTGCCAAAAGCAGAGAGTTTGACAGGGACTGCGAACAGTCACAGACTCGGAAGAACAGTCTATCACTATTCTACCGAGGCTTACTTTACCTACTAACTTTATAGTAAGTGGAGTCCACAGTAGCTTTATTAGAGGGAAGACACCACAGCACCAAGTAATAGAAACAGGCAAAGAAAGGGATAAGATATGAAACAATTTAACGAGAACAGATGTTTAAATATCTGGTAAGTGTTTTAAAAGATGTCGGAAAATATGACATCGAATTCCGAAGGTGCATTCAAATAGGAAAAGTCGGCCTTCCAATATTTGAGTGGGGGTAGTAAAAGGACAAACTCCGAGCAAAAAAGAATAGGGTGTTGTGGAAAGCCATGACTCCACGTTCTGAAGGAACACGTTATATAGTAAAAGAAATTATTATTGTTATTTTTCGGCCGAGAGACTAGCACAAAATAAATCCAATTATGACATTCAGTCTAATATGGGTATACCAGTCACACGCAGCACAGCCAAATGTGCGAAATGGAGTGCAATTTTAATAAGGGCAGCAAATATACTTGCAAAGAGGCCCCTTGTTTTGTTTTAATTATTTTACCCCAAGCAAGGTGATAAATTCACGAAGATGCAAAGTTTATGAGGGTGAAAGAATATGAACAAATATTTAGGAGAGAGGCCAATAAAAAAAGCAGGATTCAAAAAGACGATTAAAGTTGACTGAGAAGGAAGAAGCCGGAAGAAAGTTCCACGATCGAGAAGTGCAAGATAAAAAATAGTAGCATATAACTTACGGATATAACTAGCAAATTTCAACCGTAAAATAATGAAACCTAGATGTCGGTCTAGTATTGCGTTTAAATTCGTAAGATCGAGATACCAAAGAAAAATTACCATGAATATATTTATCGAAATGGCACAGGGAAACTACGGTACGACAATGGGTAAGTGACTGAAGCCAATGTTGGCAGTCAGAAACATGAAATATAGTTGAACAGAGAAAAAGAAGTGCAAGAAAGGAGAAATATCTTTAGGTTGAATAAGCCGGACGTTCTACAGTTTATGTAATTATATTCTAATTATAATTATATCTGATCATGGATCTCCACAACTTCCTTTCTATTTTTTTTGCTTTCTGTTCTTTGAAAAGTCATTTGAACAGACATTAATTTTTAACCGGCCCTCGTATTGCTATTTTTGTTCATACTAAACTCAACTATTCAGGTACCAGGTACGACGTAGAAATAAAAGCTAAGCGGCGAAAATAAAAACAAAAACAAATTTAAACCACATGGTGAAACTACGGATGTGTCCCATTTTATACCCACGATGGAACAAAGCTGGCACGGTGTATAGGAAAATAGTTTTGTTTATTCTTTGTGCTGAACGAAAGAAACCCTTATTCCCAAAACAGGAAACGGTACCTGGGCGAAAAGCAAGAAGGTGGGTTAATAACAAATTTTACCGCATATGAATATGGCTATGTTACACTTTCCGGGGGCTCTGTTTCTTACTTTCAGCTCTCTGGATTCATAATAACTTTCACAAAATTCGTAACCCCTCATTGTCGTATGGGTAGCACATGTACGTGGGTGCCGCTACCACCGATGCGTGCTTTGGACAAGCTAGCCTGACGGAACCTAAACCTATTTCATGTTGGTTTCAATTCAGATTTTCCTTCTCATAGACCGTTTGGTAGCCATAGATTATAAGTTTCTGCTATTTACCCTTATCTGAGAGACGGGGAGGGGCGGTTATATACCTTTCCCAAGGGTATTGGCGCGTAATGAAATCGATTGGAATTTGAACACCGTTCTTCAATTACTCATAACACGCCTTTATCCATTAAACAACCACGCATCAATAAATATCTGAATTAGTCTGCCCAAATAAATAATGTTACAGTGAGCAACTGAAGCATTTCATGTGTTGTCTTGTAAAATTATATATATATATATATATATATATATATAATCGACTCTCCCGTCGAATTCGACGTATGAGGGTCAAGCAGATCAGCTTCCAGGAAACCGACAGCCCGACACCGGCACATGAGATTTGATTATAGTGGTGAAGGCTTCGTGCAGGACTATCCACACTTTTTGAAGGGACGAATACAGAGACCTGGTGCACCGAATGCCACAACGACCCTCCGCAGGTTTTGAATTCAGAGTTGTCCTTCTCCTAGAGCAGTTGCCATCCAAGTTTATAGAACCCAGTCTGTCCTGCTATTTTACCCATAGCTGGAGGGCGAGTAAGAGGATTCATACCTTTTCCATTTTTTGACGTTGAAACGAAAATGTACAATTTTGTAGTGGATATGTGCATGTTCTAATGTAACACTGCATAAAATAAATAAATATTTACGGCTCTACTTTGAGCACTATTTTTAAATTAATGTTTTGAACGCTGTAATCTTACTGTTCGTTCTCCGACAATTTCCAATAGGGCGATACATATATATATATATATATATATATATATATATATATATATATATATGGATGCGTGTGTGTATAAATATATAGACAAATTTAGATACAATGTCAATCGTTATCTTTTGTCTTCTTAAATCTTGTTCTTTTATGGTTCCTTCTCCTTAATCATGGCATTTTTCAACTGTTCGCTCACACTCAGTAACCCACCTTGCGTCTTAGTCTCTTTATTGCCTTCCTTGGTATGAAACGATTTAAAGAAATATATGTGCAAACTTTTTTAATCGGCATATATGCATATAAACAGATTTAGGCCGCAACCTTTTCTGATATTTACCCTTATCTGAGAGACGGGGAAGGGGTGGATGTATATCTTTCCCAAGAGTATTGGCGCGTAATGTAAACGATTGGAATTTCTCCGATTACTCATAATACGCCTTTATCCATGAAACAACCGCGCATCAATAAATATCTGAATTAGTCTGCCCAAATAAATAATGTTCTTCGTTCTGTTTCCTGACGGCCTTAATTTTGACTTTTCGTTTATTATACCCAAAACAGGAAACAAGGCCTGGACAAAAAGCAAAAAGGTTGGGTAATAACAAATTTCTTCATAAAGATGGTTGCAATGTTCTTTCTGCATGTGACCGGTCATTGCTCTCCACACCTTCTTTTTTAAACTTTTCCCTACCTGTTCCTTTTTTTGCGAGGATAGTCATTATATTCCGCTTTTTCTTCGACTTTTTCATCTTTGTGCCGTGTCTCTTCAGGGCGTTAGTGATCGTGCCTCTCCACAATTTCCTTTCCTTTGTATCTCTTTGTAAAGGTTGTCTTTTTGTTATCTATCTAAAACCCTGTTATACTATCAATTTACTGAACCTAGCTAGGTAGGATGTGCATTGTTTTCCTCTGTCCCTCTTGCTTGCAATCTGTCCTGTGAGTATCAAATTTTCCGAGTCCTCTCTCCTTATTATGTGTTTTAGAAATTTCAAATGTCTCTTTCTGATGTTAAGTATAAGTGTCCTTTTGGTTCTCATTTCCTCTAAAACTTCGTTGTTGCTCACATGAATCCATGGTATTCTCAGCATCCTTCTGTAGAACCAGATTTCTATCGCCTCAATCTTCTTGTTCAACTGTGAGGATGTTGTCCAGCAAATGGCTGCGATATAGGAGGACTGATAATATATAACAGTTAAGTATCCTTTATTGTCATATAATTTAATTTAAAAATTGCTTTATAAAATATAATTTCAAATTTGCTATATAAAATTTGCTATGTTTTTTAATGTTCACTTTTTGCTATCCCTCCTAAACCTTGTTCTGTTATCAATTTATTTGCTTGGTATGTTATGCGTTGTTTTCCCGTCCATCTTGCTTTCAATCTCTCCTCTCAGTATCAATTTTTTCAAGCCCTACAGTTTTTAATTTGGAGTTCTAGGCAGCTAACATCTCCCTTCAAACAATCCGCCTCACCAAGAGAGTGATTTAGCACATTTTATGTTGTTATCTTGTATAATATGGAGCATTGTATTGAATGTACTGAAATAAACAGTTTAAATTTAAGGGGCACAAAATGAGAAAAGAGGGCTTGAAGAATTTGACACCCTCAGAACATAGTGAAGTCAAAGCAATCAGTCGAACTTGTGTAAAAAGATGGCAGAACAGGGATTGCGGACAAAGTAAGCAAGGGAGCATATAGATACAAGGTATATGAAGATGTGGAGAGGTACATTCATCCAAATTCTGAAAGGTCAGAGAAGATAAAGAAGAATTGATTGTAATATAGTTTTCTTCCATTTCCAGGATCATTTTTATATGTTCTCTTCATGTTCAGTTTTACCAGACGCACCTCAGCGAACTCGTCCCGAGTGTGACGATAAACTACAACCGGCAGCAAGGCCTCTTATAGAGAGAGTGGAGGTTTTGAGGAGCGTGGGACCACCTCTTAATATCTTTTGTTCCCAGGGTTGTAGCACCAGTTAGGGTCCCAGCTATGGGCAAAGAGAGACCCCAAACCAAACAAAAATCAGCGGTACATTTTTTTATGATAAAACGAGCCACACTATATTTTATAGCAAAATGACAATTCAACACTAAAAAAATATAAAAATATTTTTTTATAGTAAAATTGCCAACAATGCATTTCATGATCTACAAACTATATATCTAAAATAATTATTTAACCATAAATTTATAAAATTATGTACAAAATATCTGTAGTTAAAATTACTTATAAAATATTCTGATTTCGGCATTAAATAACCTATAGAGGTGTTGATATGCAGCTAAACAAATTCAACCAGTCAAATAACTTAAGCTATCACAAGTTTTCTTACGGATTCCTGATAATCACAGGCAGCTATCCACTAATCCATATTTAAATAAGAAATATTGTCTTCGTCTCACCGAGTGTTAAGATGCATTTTCTGATTACGACATCTGTCATCGTAATTTACACTACCATTAATATTCCGACAAGAAACAAGATTATCCAGACGGATGAACCTAGATAGAGAAAATTATAAGGAAATTGTTTGTTGAGAGCGTAAACTGATCAACTCAGAATCAGTTACAAGGCCATTTTCGTCAAGCGCCAATTGCGTAGGAAGTTCAATATGCGTGTTTGTATTAAGTTGGAAAGAAAATCCGTCTCATTCTTATATGCTCTCTTTTCACATTCCTCTTTTTATATGTGCTGTGTCCCTTCAGGACGTGTACTTATCATGGCTCTCCACAATATCCGGTCAATTCGTAGCTCTTAGTAAGTAAGCTCGCTCTCCGCGAAACACTGTTCTGCCATACAATATTGTTAGGTAGGTTATTCACCGTTTACCTCTGGCTTCAATCTATCGTGTGGGTATCAAATTCTATCCATTATATCACTCGCATATGCAGGCACCTGGTATTCCCAAGCGGTCATCTATTTACGTACTGAGAAGGCTCGAAGTTATCAACTGGATGTCAGTTATCAGTTATCTCCTTCTAATTTCCCCTCTGAAAGTTCTCCACTGCCTTAACCAGGAATTGAACTCACCTTCTTTGTGTCTGTCACTGGATCTAACCAACGCCTTTATGTGCCATGTGTCCTTGAGGACATAACTGACATCCATCAAACATGGCACGTGGAACTAGAACAGTCTACCCCAGTGATCGAAATAAAGGGTTCAGTTCGAAATTCCAACCACCTGAAGAAGGCCGGAGCGTACAACGGCCGAAACGTTGTGACAAATATGGCGACAAAGATGAGGACAATAGTCCGACTAATGTAAATATTGTAGGGAAAAAGAAGTATAAAGAAGACGTGCGAAAAGTGTCGAAACAGAAAATGGTGAATAGACAAAAAGTCAAACAGAAAAATTGTCAAACGGATAAAGTGTCGAATAGTGTTATGGAGTGGTTTCACAGTGGAGGCTTGTATTTGTACTAAGTCGGTCCTAAAATAGGTTCGACGTACAAAACCTTGGGAACTTGATATAATAGATAATAACGCATCTAGTTGTGGTCGCTGATACTTTAGTATCCGATGAACGGTCGTCCGGCATCGACTGACTGACCGACTATATTTAGTCACTCCCCCCACAAGGACATCATGTGGCACAAGGCCGGTTTAACGTGGGATCTCCGAGTCCGTGGGCTCGTCCAAAAATATGCCCATTAAACCCGTATAAACGGGTTCAATGGGCATATTCATATTCAATGGGCTATCTCTTGGTTTACGTGTTTTTTTTAAACTAAGAGATAGCTTATTCCTAAAATTTCGCTTGAAGATGAAACAGGACTAAACACCTGAATTCAACTTAATTTTAATAATTATTTAGATGGTTTCGGCTCTCGTTTTTGAAACATGAGAACTCTTATGTAGCGAAGAAATCATATTTTTAAACAAAAAAATAATATAATATATATATATACATATATATATATATATATATGGATGTAGACAAATTTAGATACAATGTCAATCGTTATTTTTGGTCTTCTTAAATCTTGTTCTTTTATGGTTCTTTCTCTTTAATCATGCCTTTTTTTAACCGTTCGCTCACACTCAGTAACCCACCTTGCGTCTTAGTGTCTTTATTGCCTTCCTTGGTATGAAACGATTTAAAGAAATATATGTGCAAAATTTTTGAATCGACATATATGCATATAAACATTGGAGACGTGCAGCCAAGTCACCATTGCAGTGATATGGTGTCTGTAATCTGTAATGAAAATAAACAATGGCTTATGTTATGCTGTGGAATTTCGAAATTAAATGAGAAATAACAATCCAGGTAATGGAGAAAGCATTTTTCTGTCTGTCGATGGCAGAAATGAAAGAGTTTTGCGCAGCGGTAAGTCAAGCGCCATCTGCCGGTGCCCGCCGTGTTTCTAGCTAGCAGAACGCATCTCGCTCTACGAGTCTTTGAGAGTTTTCCCTGTGCTGCAAAGCGTACTAATTAGAACATTTTGTGTTTCCCTTTTTTTTGTTTTTCTTATTGTTTATTTTTGTTTGGATTTTTTTTTTTTATCATCAATAGAAAGACGGAAAACTAGCGGGACCGTGTTAAAAAAAATCCCCCAAAAAACCCAAAAAACAAAACAAAATAAAGCCCTAAACAAAACCGCCAAAAATCTGTTTGGACGACTGGTGTAAGGACGGGTAGGGCTGGGGGTGGGGGTGGTGGTGATAGAAGTACTGAGAGGTGACGGAAGCAGGAATATGAAAAAAAAAGATGGAAGACACAAGAAATCAACTAGGAAATAAAAAGAGACACGTATAATCATGAACGGGTAATTGAATATAAAAGAGAAAGCGCGGGAAAAAAAAGAATGTAAACGGACATTTTAAAAATTCTGGAGATATTTATCTGGTGACGTATCTGTCTACAAGAGATCACTGTAAAAATTATTTTGGTTAATCTGAATCCAATATAGGGAAGTGGATCGGACAAAGAACTTTTTTAGCTAACCATCATATGTATGTATGTATGTATGTATCTGTCGATCTAGTTCGTTATCATAGTCTGTTCATATCTATCTTTCTCAGCCAACACTTAACTATCTATTGAAAGCATATTCATATATATCTGTCTATATGATTCGGTTTGTTCATTATCTGTTCATCTCTCTTGATCTGTTCATCTCTCTCGATCTGTTGTATATCTATCTATCTACCTATCTATCTATCCTATCTATCTATCTATCTATCTATCTATCTATCTATCTCAGTCTGTTCATATCTATCTATCTATCTATCTATCTATGACAAGTTTCCATTATCTATCTATCTATCTATCTATCTATCTATCTATCTATATATATATATATATATATATATACATATATATATATATATATATATATAGAGAAGAGAGAGAGAGAGAGAGAGAGAATAACCTGTTCATATCTATCTATCTATCTATCTATCTATCTATCATCTATCTATCTAGATAAATAGATATGGACAAGTGGGTTATATATATATATATATATATATATATATAACTCACTCTATTCTAATCTATCTAACTATTATCTCTCTCTCTCACTCTCTCTCTCTATATATATATATACATATATATATATATATATATATATATATATATATAGAGAGAAGAAAAGAGAAGAAACCTACTTTGTTCATATATATCTATCTATCTATGTATCTATCTATCTAGATAAATAGATATGAACAGAAGTGGGTTATATATATATATATATATATATATATATATATATATATATATATATATAACCCACTCTATTCATATCTATCTATCTATCTATCTAATGTACGACATGCCCCAAATAACGTTTACTCTAAGCATCTATGTATGGTCGGGAATCGCGTTCTCAGTATGGAATTTTGATTAAAACAAATTTTCCATACACGTGTCTTGTCTTCACTGTTTTATACACGTAAGACCAGAGACACTTACAGGTGAGGCCTAAAAAGGGTGGAAAAATTCTTGGCAACAGTATCTCCACGGTATTTTCGTTGTCCGCTGGCAAATTTAAATCTAACGTATAAAGAATGTGGTTGCGTATATCTACGTGAAGCCGGCCTCGAAAAGGATGAAAGAATTTATTTAAAGAGAGAAGTCGTATATTACACCTTGGGCGACATTTATGCAACAACTCTTGCAAATGACGTCCAACGTGTGTCTTTCTCATGCGACGTTGGGCTCAGATCTTAAAATCTCAGTCTTGTACATTACGTCCATTTTGAGAAACGCGAAATCCATCTCTCCTATTTCTTTAATCATTTCACCCCAAGGAAAACGATACTGACACGAAGACACAAGGGGTTACTGGGATTAGAAGAGTACGCCTAGAAAATGGCGATTGACGTTGCATTTAAATTTTTTCGGATTGTATTGACAAGGAAGCAAGGAATTGGAAGTGATTTCCGCTCTTGTGAAGTGCGAGAATAGAAACTATTAGAATAGAACGGTTGCATCTAGCGAATTCAAAATTAAAAAGTTGAGACCTAATTGCCACTCTAGTATTACGTATAAATTCATGAAGTCGAGGTACCGAGGAGGAAATCCCATCAAAACATGAAAATATTTGTAGAAATAAATGAAGGAGATTCAGATGGCGTCGCTGAGAATGTCAAGATGCCAGATCAGGATATAATTACATCACAGACCCGTCTTTGAATTTTGTTAAGTTTCATTAAAGACAAATTACAAGGCACTGAGGTTATGTTTCATGTGTTTTATTTTTTCATTTCTTTTCTCGCCCTAAATTACACAAAACTATTTTTTTTAAATATTCGTTTTTTTTTTATATCCGTGCGATTTCAGATATATTTTAGCCATTATCAAGGATGAATTTTATTTTTACATTACAGACCCTTCTTTGAATTTTGTCAAAAAACCCGAACAGTGTCAGACCGGATATGAGAGAAACATTCGAATGCTAGATTTCTAAAAATGCAAGAGGGATTCTGACGATAAACATTGTCTGACACAACAAAGCACATCAACTTTCCTAGCAGTAGACCAAGTAATTGATACAATAATATTACTCCATATCATATCTGGTAAACATGAAAAAAAAAAAAAAAGAGGCGAAAAGAGCTGTTTTCCTGGAAGGTAAGCATAAATGGCTCCCTAAGGAGACTAAATGAAAGAAGTTTTCATTTGGAAGCATTACAATTTACGAGCCATAACTTTCCCCCAGATGACCACTTATTTGAGATTTGAGGTCCTTATCGAGAGCAGTTGCGGGTTTTACTTCGTATACACACACACACACACACACACACACACACACACATATATATATATATATATATATATATATATATATATATATATATATAGATAGATAGATAGATAGATAGATAGATAGATAGATAGATAGATATTATCTAGTGAGCCAGACAAACCTACCCAGGTTTCACCTAAGCGGGTCGTCAGGGAAGAGCCAGCTTTCCTGACGATCCGCTTAGGTGAAACCTGGGTAGAAATTATCTGTACACTAAACTTATCTAGGTCTGCTCTACGGTTGTATTGAGCTCTTTTTAGTTAGTTGTTTACTCGTGTCAGGGTTTTTTCTTTTTAATTTTGAATTCGCTAGATGCAACCGTAAATTCTATTCTAACATTTTTCTATTCTCGCACTTCACAAGAGCGGAAATCACTTCCAATTCCTTGTTTACGCGTGTCGGGTTTTTTTTCTTTAAACCTGTATCTGTGCGATTTTTTTCGGCAGACTTTCATGTTTCTAGCTCTTCCTTTTTTAAAAACCTTTTTTTCCTTCGAGATTGATTATTGGCAAATCAAAAATTCGAAAGTTTTTCAAAACAACATAGTTACATATATACCTATATATATATATATATATATATATATATATATATATATAAATTATATTAAGACATTTTATGTTTATACAATCTTTTTTATAGATAGCAATATTTAAGTAAATGCTATAAAAAGAATGTATAAACATAAAACTGGTTTAAAATAATGTCGGACTTTGTGATTTCATAATATATATATATATATATATATATATATATATATATATAGAGAGAGAGAGAGAGTGAGAGCAGTTCCAATTCACGTTGTGTTCGTCATATTCACGGTATTTATCATTTCACCCACGGGAAACGAATATGGCACAAGGCCGGTTTTATTGTGGGTTTCTCCGAGCCCGTAGGCTCCGCCAGAAAAATAGCCTTTTGAAGCCGATTAGACGGGTTCAGGCCCTGTCTACCTCCCCGGACGAAACCTTGCCCTTCGGCAAAGCCTCCTCCGGGTTCCTCTCTGCTAACGCAGAGAGTTCGACAGACGTCGGAAGTCAGCCCAAGAACTTCTCGGTATTTATCATTTCACCCACGGGAAACGAATATGGCACAAGGCCGGTTTTATTGTGGGTTTCTCCGAGCCCGTTCGTCATATTCACTTATGCGCAAATATCTGTCTAATAGGATATACATGGCTATGTTTTTCAAAGAACTGTTGTTTAATAGAATTAAGACCAGAAAGCAACTATACAAAGGTTAGAACGGCACATAATCAAACATAAAAGACATTGGTTGTCTGTTATATTTAACAACATATATTTGATTGATGATCTGCTGATATATATATATATATATATATATATACATACATACAGAGAGAGAGAGAGAGAGAGAGAGAATGGATAGATATCCCCGAAAACGATAGGACAAAGAATACGTAGGAAAAAAAAATATTACTCTAATATTTTTCACGTTAAAACTCCATCAGATTTCAAGATAGAAATGATACAAATTATTTTTATCCACACACACACACACACACACACACACACACACACACACACACACACACACATACATATATATATATATATATATATATATATATATATATATATTTGGATCTTTCATTGAAGACGACCGACAAGGAGGACTTAATCTTTTATTGAGCATTCATGCCAATCTAATATTTTAACAGTTTACATTTTAACAATCTAACACTCTAAAACTACTATGTACCAGTCACACATAATTTCACCATCTAAAAGCACATCCCCGATAATGGCTAGAGAAGTAGCCAAAAGTGCTCGTAACAATTATAACTATGGAAAATTCCTATATTCTTTAATCCCTGAAAAACGGGAAAAATGTTAGCAGGAATATCTCATTAGAAGATTAATTAAATCTTACTTGTCCGTTTTCAATAAAAGATGCATGAAAGAATCAATATATATATATATATATATATATATATATATATATATATATATATATAGTTCTTTAATGCATATACTGTTACAGATCTACGATAAGGAAAATATATATGTGAGTGTGTGTGTGTGTGTGTGTGTGTAAATATTCTAAGATGGAGTGTATGTGTAGAAGAGACAAAATGAATAGCAAGAAAAATAATATAAACTAACCTGTCCTAGACTCCGATGATGAAACGCGTCGACTAAGCAGTTTTTTCTTCTGTCTTTTTTAGTCCTATATATATATATATATATATATATATATATATATATATATATATAAATTCCCAAGAGGATAGAATCCAGGTAGAACTCAATGACCAGGACAGAGCAAGAATATATTATAAGAGGCTCAAACACTAATATTCCATAAGTATAATTTATAACACTGGAAACGTAATCGCGACCCAATTCATCAGCACTACAAATTCAAAAACTATATATATATATATATATATATATATATATATATATATGTACATACATACATATATAACAATTATGTATTTGGCCAGCAATTCTTCTTTTATACATGTTCCCTTAAAGATGACAAAC